CACCCCTGCCCTGCGCGGAAAGCGGCAATCCGCGCAGTAGTTTCCTGCTTAATTATGAGGGTTGTGTGGCGATGGTGATGGTGGCAGCTACTTTTGATGGTACTGGTGATGAAGATGACGACGACAATGATAATGTTGAGCATGATGTCAAAGATGATCTGATTGTCGACTCGACACGCGTCGCCGTCTAGAGTCTAGAGCAGCCTAACATCATGAGCAGCACCACCGGCGCCACAGCAAGAAGGAAGATAAGGAGTAACACGTAAGAACTTCAAGCACGGCGGATGCCGGCCACACGAACATAGTAGATGCAATTGTAGGCATGAATGGTGGTGGAGAAGATCGGAACAAGTGCTCTTAAAGTTCCGCGTAACAGTAGTTGAGTCACTAATCCCACCCCAAAAGGGGGGGTGTGTGGAAGCCCTGCATCATACATACACATATACGTATACACTATAGTATTAGACTATTATGCTGCTTTGTAGTGAAGTATGTTATGTATTAGCTAAGATAATACTTATATTATACGTACACACAGCGATATGTATATATATATATAATATGCACACATATAAATATATGTATATATATAGATATTTAAATGCACTGCATTTATATTGCATTTCATGTAGATTTGGACTATTTGCTCTATAACCTGTATGTATATATATATATATCTATACATACACATATGCACGGGTCTGAATATAGTCCATATGATCGTTAGTAGAAAGGGCATATAGTATACAGTATACAGTATGTCGTACAAAGTATGCAGTACATATCCTGGTTCGTACGTTATACTACATTCCACATATAGTGTATTTACAATTACTATGTGTGTATATCTACACATGTATATTATTGAATTCTGTTTAGTACATCAGTATGCATGGCATTCGTACATTTTAGCATGGCATAAATATGTATAGTACTATATGTGTACTATAGGTATATTTGTGTTTATATGTACGTACTTTTGTTTACACTCATACACGCTCTACATAGCTTTTCTATGAATAAGTACATAAATAAGTGTGTATATATATATAGAAGATATATAGATATGTAAGTGTCAATACTGTAGTATACATAGTGTACATAGTTCGTATGTATGTGTATATATTTACACATGTATACAGTTAAATGAATGTATATGTATATATACACGTATATATAACAAAGTATATACCTGTTTCATCTGTGTATTTTCCGTGTTGTATATATTGCGGACGATTCGACAGCCTACATAGTAAATATAATGTAACATATGCTGTTCATCGGAAGGGTCCCGCAAAGAGCGGCTTGCCTAGGGAATTGTGTGGAAGGTTCCCTAGTGCTGAATCTCTTACCCCTGCACGGAATCCCGTAAAATACAGTGAACACGTGTACTGCCTTCGCCAAACCCCACGACACCGGCCCCTTCTGAAAAAAAAGAAGAGGACCCCCCAAAACAAACGGCCAACTTAAAGAATCCACCCTGGCTGGATCGGTCATGGAGACTTCCATAAGACGTTGTGGCTGATACCAGTGCTGGTCTGCACACCACCTTTCGCAGGGACATGTTGAGGGTTGCATTCCAATGGAGAGGAGCCTTGCTGCCACAAGACGAATGCTGCACATGCAGCCCACGGATTTCTCGGACCAAGGCTTTCTTCGCTCATCGAGCTGCACGCTGATCCGTGCGCCGTCTCACGAAGTGGCCGCTTGGATTCCTTTGCGGAGGGAGCGTGTTTCCGTGGCATCCAGGGCTCTGCTTTCGAGGATCTTGATAAGCTCTGCTAGCCAGCATTCAAGGCGCAGCAATTGTACGTGTCAGCGTGGCAGGGTACTGCTGAACTAAGATAGCGTCGCCTCGGCTGGGGCAAGCCCTGTATTAGGGTTCCTGGGGCCCGGGGGTGTTGCTTGTTGTGTGGGGCTCTTGATGCACGTTTCGTAGTTACACTGTTCGGAGTCTTTCCCGATGCCCACGACTTGATTCCAGGCCAGAGGTGGTTCAGAAAGCTTCGAATTTGAAGCGCGAAGCTCTGAAGATCGAGTCTTCAGGAGCACCAGAAGGTCCAATTCGGGGATAAGGGGGAAGGGGTGGGGGCCTTAAATCTGGTCCCTCCTCTAAAAATCACTGGTTCCTTGCGAGAGGCTGAGTCCTCAGTAGTCGGGACCTTTGACCCTCCCAAATTTGACGTATTTGGAGTCTACTCACTACTGACTGTTTGTGTGGTGCGCTTGACAAGCGTGGTCTCGGGTTGTCTGTTCAACTTGACTGCCACACGGGGCAGCATGACGGCGGGTGTGGGGTCCTTTAGCTTGCCTGCATGGGCTGTTGTGTGAGTCCCCATAGGCTTGCCTACGGACAACAATGGATTGCGCTGGCGGTCAACGGATGCAAAGTTGCTAGCTGTCGAGTTTCCCTTCGCTTGGAGTCGGAGAGGCAGAGTGGATCATGCCGTCACAGGCTGTTTTGAGCCGAGGCATCAACTGCGCATTTCTCGCCAGATCTCCTGGTCAAGTCAAGGTTCTGCTGGAGGCGGTGGGGTGATGCAAACAGATCACAGGTAGAGAGAGTCGTGGAGAGCCAGGCGTAGTCACATAGATGAGAAGCTCCCGAATAGGCACCATTCGATAGCGAGTTTCTGCCAAACGCAGAGAGGACATGTTTGTTTGGGGCGTTAACTTGGTCGCAGTGTTCTTACCCGTTTGATCTGCGTCTCCTGATTTCTTGGGGCCTGCTGTGTTCTTCTATTCAGCTTGCTGTCAGCCCATGAAGCAGCCAGGCTCGGATGGATGTCAGCTCATCCTTCGAAGTGCATGGAGCCTGTTCCTTTGCGGACCCAAGCGCCTTTGCCCGATGTCTCTGGTCGTGTGCTTCCACAAATTTTCTTTTCGTCAGTACTTCACTGCACTGCCATCTCAGGTACCGTCAAGGCGATCCTGGCGGCCCGGGCGAGCGTCAACAGCCAGGGCGAAGGCTCACACCTGTTAGAATGCGCTCACCCGTCGCGCCATAGCAACCGTAGTAGGCTTGGAAGGCTCAGCACCGAGTTGAAACTGCAGTCGTGCACGAATTATCACGAATTCACAATACAGAGCAAAGAAGGGATGAGGTTTGGCTGCATGGCCCGGCCTTGGATCGTAGTTGGCTGCAGAGATCTGCAGAGTTTGCGGCAACACTTGAACCGCGAAATAGCCGCATAGCACCCTCACCAAGATGTGTACTGTACTTGGTGCATCTCCACTGCTTTGTGCCAGTGCTCATCCAAGTGAAGCACATTCTGGCAATCTACGGCTTGATGGATTCCCCGAGCCCAGACAGTCAAGGATAAACCGTCGTACCCTTCTGCCACGGCAGCCGCAAGAGACTAGCTGCCCCAAAATGTGACCATGCGTTGCAATCTGTGAATGCAGGCTACACTCCATTGCACGCTTGTGCGATGTTTTGCCGGGGCAATCGGTTTGCTCCCGAGATCGCAACCTTGCTGATCCAACAGCGCGCAGATGTCAATGCCCCTGCAGTGCCTAATGGCCACTCGTCGACTATGGAACCTTGATTTGCTGATCTCATAAACAACCTTGGCATTCCATGTCACTTGCAGAGCTGTCAGATTGACCCACGTGCAGTTTGGAGGCAGCTCATCAGATATGTGATGTGCGCAATGTTGTCCCAGGCTACTTTGACTGGGAGTGTCGGTGTGCGCGACTAGTGGCAGCACTGGCTGGTTTCGAGAACGCGTCCTATGTTACGCGGACACTGGGCAGCAATGTCAGCAGGCCTTCATCTTGTCTAGAAAGCATGAATTGACTGGAGAATGTCGACCTCCCGGCAGATTCTTCTCACCCAGAGCCGGCGTGAACACATGTATGCTAGGTGGCACATTGCACAGCCGTTAATCAGTTGATATTCGTCATGGTCCTATATAGGTTCGTATGTTTATAATTAGACAAAAGCCCGTAATGGGTTTCTGCAAGGATGCTCGCCAGCATTCCTCGCATAACACCACTGGGAACGGCGGCCTTCATTGGCCACTTGAGCTGCATGAGCAGAGCTTTGTGCAGCGTCCGAGGTAGGGTCGTCGATTAACGGCTGATGGGCTTATGGGTTCTACTCGACGACTAGAGCTTCCAGACGGCTAGCTGCGACAATCATCATCATCATCTAGTTTTCAAATCCAGCAAATCATGCCTCGTGACCCAGCTCGCTTGGCGCACAAGGAGACGAGCACTTGTGCCAGATTCTGTTGGACAATGGTGCTGACATGCGCCCAAACGATCCCTGGATGAAAGCTGGTTTGCCTCCGGAGGGTCGTCAGCTGATTAGGATGTATGTGTGTGTGTGTACACAAATGTACGTGGTGACCATCGAGTGAGACCGTAAGAGATACAGCAGGGGGGAACGGCTCTCTGGTGCTACCGTACCCAACGAAGCTGTGCATCGCCAAGCCTGATCAGCTTGGTGTACCAGGGCCAGCCCAAATTGCCCCAAAGAAGCTGTTGTTTCCACAACTGGCGTTCTGCGATTCTGGATGGTTGCCGCAATCTGTCGTCGTTTGGTCCTGTCGGTCGCTCAGCGCAGTATTCGTGCCGAGCTGAAGTGTCCATCGAAGTGTCTATCGACGTGTCTCTTGTTCTGGAAATCCCGATATGGGGCCAAATCACAGTGGGCGAAAGCCATGCCCGCGATAGCGGATGATAACGCCAATGCTGCCAATCTAAAATGTTCATTCTTCAAATCATCATCATGGTCAGGTACTTTCGTTTTGATGGTGACTCACTCACGCACCAGTCTCAGAAAACCGCTTTGTGAGTCGACTGAGTGTGCAGGGTTTCTTTTGGGGGGTTGGAGTCGTTTGGGGTCAGGCAACGCAACTCAGGCTTGGTTCAGGCAGTGTGAGGCCTTGCAAGCGCAGGTGCGTTCTCCGTGACCTGTTGTGTTGCTCACTGCTTCCCCTTTGTGTTGTTTCTTCTGTAGTTCTAGCTCTCCCTTTCTCTGTTCCATTTGCTGTTCGGCAACAAGACTGCGGCTCGTGCTCCCGTCTCCCGATTGGTAGGATGTTGTACGACTCCCGAACGAGAGCATGCCTTGGCCCGGCTGGCGCGCCGCTGGCGCCGCCGTCAATATCACCTCCCCTTGCACTCGTGCGACCGCCTGGTCAAGTTTCCCAGCATGTCATTGCACCGCGTGGGTTTGGTTTTGGTAGGGGTTCTCGGCTAGTTCCTCCTCCGCCGAGAAATGCTGGGACCCCTTTGCGATTGCAACAGCAGCCCCTAAATACTAAAGCTCGCATTGATCGTCGGCAAACAGTAATACTCTACAACACTTCGAGGCCAGCAAGCGTCTTCGCAGCAATGAGTTTTCTTATCCAGGCTTGTACGCCTTGCGCCGCCTTGCCAAGTATTTGCCAGCTTATATGGTGCCTGCTGCCCTTAATAAAAGCAATTTCAGGAGCCATGACTTTTCGCGGCTTCACCGCACCTAGGTTCTACAAAGTGCCATTCCTGGCACATGCAGCATGCCAAGCGGAACTTCGTGCATGCATGAGAGCCGTCACACCTCTTCATGTGCCGAAGTCCAGCTTGGTTTTCCCTCGCCACCCTCGGGTGGCACAAACACTTTTCAACTACGAAGACGTCCTGGCACAATGGGCTGCCGGCCACCCGCATGCAAATGCCACATCATACCAGTGTGCCCCTGAAGCGCCAATGTTTGGGGAACATGTCGCCGCTTCCGGACACCATTCCTGCTGTTCCTTCTCCACTTTGGATAAGGAAGTTGTTAGTGGATCTACGGGGAATACTTACTTTCCCTCCCAACGACAGCCTCGAACGCAGGTCCGTGCTGCCTGGACCGATTGGTGCCGGGCAAACCACCCAAAGGCCTACCTGAAATCTTCCGCAAGTGCTGGGCAAGGCACCAGCAGCAGGTCAACAGCAGATATCACAGCAATGTGGTTGACAGCATCAGGCGCAAAACACAGGGTGCCATATGGCACTGGGAAGACCACCAACCACGCGCCGCAGTCTGTTACTGTCCTGTGTTGTACAACATCATGTTGTCCGGCACGTTTGACAATCGCAATGTGTTTGAAGAGGTCTCAGAAGATTTTGACCGTCAGGTTCAGAACGTTCCAAAGGCAGCAAAGCGCTTTGCAGCGACGGTACTCTTGGGCCTTTCGGCGCACGCCAACAGTCCCCGCCGCTTATGCGTTGCCCAAAGGACTTCCAAGCAGGAAGACCAATAGTGTCCTTTGCCGATGCTGTCATGCGACCGTTGGTTGAAACCACAGCTCGTCTTCTTTATCGCATCTGCGCAACTGCCGTGTATGACCTGCTAGCGCGGGTACGCACCTTCTTCGTAGGAGGCATCACCAAACCGCTACATTGTCGCAGCCAGGACTTCAGCGGTGTCTTCACTAGCATCTCCAATGCACAGTTCCAGCAAGCATGGAACATCACGAGAGAACTTTACCGCCAAAGACATGGCCTCGACGACGACACAGTTTTCACTGTGGATCCGAAGGAGCAGCCACAAGCCCTTCGCATCTTTCGAGGCAAGTGCAGAAACCGCGCCACCCGACAAGTCCGAGTCTGGGCGGACATTCCCGGCATTATTTTGCATGCTCCTGCCCGGCCCTGCAGCACTTCATGGTTTCAACTCGCGGTTTTCGACAAGCCCATGGGTCGCCATTGGGCTCGCCAATTTCACTAGCATTATGTGGCGTGGTGGCTCCGGCATGAATCGCAGCCTTTTGTGTCTGCGATATGTCGACAATCGACTATGGATATCGGAGGATTGTGTTGCCAAGCTGCCTGGACTCTTGCTCTTCCTCAAAAATCACTTCTACGGTGGCGGCATCACCTTGGAGGATGAGCCCACCGTTGACTTCGGCGGGTTCACTTTGGACCTGCAGAACAACCGACGTTTCCTGTACAATGTACAATAGAGTATGGCAAGCACGGGCCTGCCGAGCGTCAAGTCGGCTTCGCCTGAACCTGTACTCCTTAGTCGCATATTAGCACGGGCACATACCATCAAGAACTGCGCCTTTCCTGAAGCACGGATGCTAATGGATTTGTGTTATTTGTGGAGCTCACAAATGAGCAGCGCCTCCTCATACATACCTTTGCTTTCAAGTCAAAGTTTTGGCGCAAGACCTAGGGCTATTGCCAAAGCAAGAGTGCTTCCTAATGCGTTACATGTGTATCATGCTTGCTTGAGCACATTTCATTGTTTTGTTCCTGTGTAGGGTTCAGGTAGTAGCAGTAGCCTCCATGGCGTCCTCTCAGGGCAGCGACGTGCCTAGTCCAACTGACAATGCCGAGGAAAGGCGAGCCCGCCTTTCACAAGCACTATACAGATCTTGCAAGAGGAGGGATCCAGCAACGACGCAGGTGACACCGATAGTCCCAGCGTATCCTCGTTGGACAGCTCCTTTCGCAGCATGCTGGCAGACTATAGCGAGACCGCCACCCAACGACGTCATGATTTACATGAACGAGTGCAGCGTCTTGAGACCCTTCTGAACACATGACTGCAGTATCGTGATGGTGTCTCAGCGTGCCATCAAGGTGAATGCCCTTGCCTTGCAAGTGTGTTCACGCCTTGCCCATTTGTCATGCGCTTCGTTGTTCATTGGCTCCAGGAACTTCGTGGACTTGTGTGTTAGTTTTTTCGTCCTGTAGGTCCTGTAGCATGATTGCCCGAAGACTTGTTGGAAATAGTTTGCAGCTACCCCAACGCCCTTCAGCTCAATTTTTGGGGTTGACCGATTGGGCAACCTCTTCGGCTAGTGTTCCACCATCCGATTGGGAGGACAACGTTGCCTACAACGCGCAGGAGGTAGTCAGGGCATGGTGCCTTAAGTTTGGCATCCGCCCACAGATTCGCATGCATACTTCTCCTTACTCGCGGACCGCTTGTCTATACAATGCAGTCATCACAACATGGCAGTCACGGCCAGACTGGGCAGGCATTGGCGCAGAAAGAGGTCAGCTTTTACATCATGGGCGTGGCCAAGCTCAGTGGTCGCTTTGATAAGAAGTTTGATTGGTCGTCATGGCTTGAAAGCGTCTGAGTCTGGATGGACACTGAGCCTTTAGCATACATGCGACCTTTCCAGATTAAGCACGCATCAGCTTGGACTGAGGTTGCAGCGCGCAGGACAAAGATAGAGTGGTGCGAGGTGCCTTTTCACAGCTGTGCGCATGTTCTGTCTGTGCATTAGAATGCTTCCGCAGCCCCCCACCGAAACCAGCCTTTTGGTGCTGGACATGGCGCTCCGGCCCCAACAGTGACGGCAGTGTCGTGTGGTGGTTGCAATGATTTGAAGTGTCGCATGGATGGATTCGGTCGAAAGCTCAGCAAGATCGGCAATTCCCCACAAGGGAAGGTTTTGCTGCTGAGAGCCACCCAACAGCCTGCATTGAGTAAGAAAGCTAGCCGAAGCTTTTCCAGAAGCCCTTCATCGCATTTGTTGGCCGATCGTTTTAACAGGCCCGACTGAACGATGCAGCCCTGTCAGGTCACACGGCATGTGTGTGTACACGCCTGTACATGGCGACCATCGAGTGGGACCGAAAAAGATTCCGCAAGGGGGTACGGCGCTCTGATGCCACTGTACCCAGCGAAGCTGTGCATCAGAGAAGGAGCCAAGCCTGATCAGTTTGGTGTACTTACGCAAAGGCCAGCCCAAAGTACACCAAAAAAGCGGTTGTCTCCACAGCTGGCCTTCTGTGATTCTGTATGGTTGCCGCAATCTGTTGTCGTTTGGTCCTGTTGGTCGCTCACAGCAGTCATTCGTGCCGAGCTGAAGTGTGTGTGCGTGCGTGTTACCGTCAGTTGACCGTTGACACACCTCCGACTTGTTGCCTTGTGCAAGCTGGACGGGTAAAATGTGAAAACGGCAAAAACTGACACAGACGACAGAAGCGGCCCGGATGTGGGCTGTGAGGCTATGATCATAAAGACGGTATGTACGTATATGTCGGTAACCAAGGAAAGAACGCAAGATGCCCGCCTTGGTTCGGGGTGAAGGGCTTTTGAGCTTGCGGTTGCCGTGTTGCTTGCAGGAGCGGGGCGACACACCCGAGACCTTTGCGCGTCTGGCTTGCAAGTGCTGGTGTCCCTATCGGATGTCAGGCAAGTGTTTGGTCGGAGTTGATGAAATTGAATCGCTGTGTGTATGTTGGCGTATTTATGTGGCAGATTGCGGCGATTTGTTTGCACAGGTCGCTTTGTTGGCCTGACACATGCTGCGCATTTTTCAAGTCGACAGTCTGCTAGTCTGCTTTACTATTGTACGCTCTCGCCCGAGGATCATCAACCGCCACGAGCACCTGATCCCCCATTTGGCCACATTCCGTACCTGAATGCTGAGGCTCCTGCTCAATTTTCACTTGCTTTTTGGGGACGGATTGCATTTAGACAACGTACGTCGGCGTCCAGCCATTTTCATGAAGCGAATCAGCTGTCAGCTTTTTTGTGACAGGGCGAAATGCAGCTTCTTGTGTAGCCAGGTTTGGCCACTCCATGCCAACTGAGTTCGGGACGTTTCTGGAGTTGCAGTAATGCTTGCCCATACCGAAAGCCACCCTGCAAGAACATAGGCAGAGACAAAGTGATGTAGGTTTGGAGCCCCCCTCCTTCCACCATACTGTCGCTTGAGACTGAAGTTCATCCGTGCGGCGGAAGGCTGCCCTTGCACAGCTCAGGCAGCCAGCTTTGTCTCATTTCCTGCCAAGCAGGACAATTCGACATACTTGCATGCAGGTTCGTCGGACAAGCCCGACAGACAAGCAAGCAGGTTTGCCTTGCCCAGGCGTCCGAGCCATGTTGTCTGCGGGGCATGAAAAATACGATTCTATAACTCAACACACCAGTTCACCTGATCTTCTCACCACATGTCGAACGAATCAAATCTGCCGCTTGAGGACCGCGCTTTGAGGCCGAGGCACATGCCTGAAGCTGAAGCTCAGTTTGTGTTCTAGACTGTCACCGCAAGCATCACAGTACGGCGTCGGATCTTTTGTCTACACTCATCTTCGCATCACAGCTGCTAAGTTTGTTTGGCTCTGGCCACACGAGTGTTTGCATTGAGATGGACTCAGGTGCATTCACCAGAAGGGAACATGAGCGGCCGGCCAGGCATGAATCAAAGATATAGTGGCCGGCCTGTTTCGCATTCGCTCCTCCGTCGGATTGGGTGGGTTTAAACGTTCAGCGGTTCTTGCAAAAGGAGATGCTTTTGACATGGATGATCTGCTGTTGGCGAGTAGGAATGGTTCGATGGCCAATGTGCCGTCGTGTCTTCTCCTATGCTGTCTTGCAAGAGCTTGCCAGATGGGGAGCCGAGCCGCGCAAGACTTGCATATGATGCAATTCTTAGGGTGTTTGGTAGTGGATGACTTACGTATGCTCAAACAATCCAGTGTCCTCTTCAGTGTTGTCGAGACTTTCGGCGCTCCTCTGGGTTATTCTTGGAGGGTTCAAGTTGATCTCAGTCTGTTGCCCAGACGGCGGGCACTGGCCACATTGGGGCACGAAATGTCAGGAACACGTGCATGTCCTCACGTTGCAAGATTTTTTACAAAAGCCCCAACTCTGCTGTCAGTGCACGTGCCGCCAGAGACCAGACCGTCAAGTTTAGTTAGGAGATGTTAGGAGGTCTCTCCACCTGATGGCTTGCAGGGGTCCTGTAAGTCTCTGTATCTCTCCGACATCTCCGACATCCGTCAGGTGACGAGTCGGCCGTGAAGAGATCTCATTCCTAGGATGCCAAATGCAACGGATTGCAGCCAGACGCGCGCGCTCACCACTGATTAAAAGCGAAGATGCAGCTGGGCATCCTGACATTCAAGATTAATGTCGGGTCTAGAAATGCGCAGGAAACCATGTGCAATCATGTTTCATTGTTCGAATTACTCGGGACGGTACTGTAGCAAGCATTTGATCTTTCTGGCCAGAAGGCATCATATCCACATTCCACTATAGTGGGAGCCGTGTTACATTCTCCGTTCCAGCGCGATTCGAGCACTGATTCAAAGCCCATGTAAACATAAACACCTGGGGTTTTGGGTTGTCAGGGGTCGGGTTTGTGGGCTTTTGCAGGGTTGAGCGGTCAGAGTTTGAGAAGTAGGCAGACTCCTTTCTGCGAGAACGAGAGGGAGAAAGGGTTCAGAATTGGTGAGGGTTCACCCACTGAACATCCCTATTGTCTTACCTCATGTGCAGGGTCAGCAACTCGAGCCTATGTGGTTGAGAGGGTCTGTCGGGTTCAGGGTTGAGTTTTTCGGGGTTGAAGGGTCTAGGCAAAAGGGTCTAGGGACTTGGGCTGAGGCTTGGGGCTTTATTTTGCGGATTTGAGGTTTTGAAGTGTTCAGGGTGCTCGAGGGTCGTTGGATGTTTTGCGGTTTATGGTGGCATCGGTTTTCTTGGGAATCCCGGGAAGGCGAAGGAAGCGCCCTCAATGCGAATCTACATGCGTCAATGGGCCGAATCCACATATCAGCCCGTGAGCTGCTTCGCCGCTAAGTGCGCGGATCGAACTTTGAATTTCTGGTGTGTGAAACGGTGTCTTACATTGCACATTCCTGCACGATGCCTCGCGTCAAGCCACGCACTGCGACAAGCACACCTGCTCTCAGTTCAACGCGCTTCTGACATATCAGCATATCAGCACGATGTAAAGTGCAGCCTAAAGCATACGACTTTAACACTGGCATGTGGAGCAGGCAAGCAGAAAAGTAGACAAGTTTCGGTTCCCTGCGTTGCCCGCTGATGGCTGGAGCCTCCGTTGCTTCGGCAGCCTTCCCTCCACAAAAGCCCACCAAAGAAACCCGGTGAGGTCCTCCGGCTGCTGCTGGTGGCCGGACTGTTGGGCATTCCTTGGGCCGAAGAGAGAAAGCTGGAGGTCACAGAGAGCCAAGGCCCTGCCCCATTTCCGGCCTGCAGTGTACGATCCCTGACACTGGACTCCCACGTGATGCGGGTGCTTTGTTGAGGCTTTGCTGCAGGCCAAACCGGCGAGTGAGCCCTGCATGTCGCTTTTTTTGGCGAGTCGCACATAGGGTCTGGTAAACGGCAGGTCAGGTACTAGAAGCGAAGCGGTAAAGGCTTGGACTCGGATGTCGGGTCGATACGACCGCTGAAGACTTTTGCTTGTCTTTTAAAACTAGATAAAGCCAGGTACTTCCGATACAAGCACATTTTCCACAAGAAACCCAGCGGCGAGGATTTCCAGCATGCACAAAAGGTTGCAGAAGAGGCACTTCGCTCAGCTTGGCAGCAGGACTGTAGGTAGAACACGTCTGCATGCCCTTCACTGGCCAGTGTTCCCGGTTCATGGCGGCCTGCAGTGTACGCTTCTGTATTTGTGCTGAACTGTTGCATGGGCGGCGACGGGGCTCTGCGTGAGTAGCTGCCCCGAGGTACGATGCGTAGTATGTGCCCGCCACCCAGCAGCGCCTTGTTGAGCTGTTCGATGGTCACATTATGCCGTGAACAAGCTGCAGCCGCGCGATTCTACAGTGTACAGCGAGAATCAGGGAGCCGCCATTCGTCTTGCGTCAGAGCTTCCGCCAGCTTAGGCCAAAATATTGGCATCCCTGCTGGCAAAAGCACGTTCGTTCAGCGAGGACTGGAGAGGATAATGAGCTCATCCTCATGCAATGGCTACCGATGCTTAGAGCTTCCTTCTTGATGAGCCTGCCACGTGCCTCTTTGACAGGACGATATAGCAGATGTATTGGAAGGCAATGCAGAATACGATAGGACCGGTGATCCCGTGACGGTACCTTGGCAGCAAGTCAGCCAGGTAGTTGCATTTCTCCGGAATGCTTGTTGCAAAGAGTATGATGTCGTTGGTGCCGATGAAAGGGAAGAGCCGAGGACCAAATGCTGAAGCACAAGCGCGGGTGTAACAAGCACTTCAAGGAGGGCTGCTGGCAGTTCCCAGTCCCAGCTCCACCAGCAATGCATTCCACCAAACCTGGTGACCTTTTCCACTCCGAACGACGGACCAGACCAGCTACGCTCCGGAGTGCTGCTTTCCCCGTCAAGGGAGCACATGGCAACGGGAAAAACTCCATCTAGAGACTTGCAAATTGCAATTTGAAGCAGCAGCCCGTTTCATCACTATCATCGTCTCTTACATTACCCCGTCGCTCATCATTGTCTTTGTCGTCTCCATCCCTCAGAGCTTTGCGGCTGGATGGCCTCGCCTTCTAGTGGGCATCGTCCTTCCTTGGAGAGATTGGAAACCAAGGTGCGGTTCATGTTCCCAAGCTTTCGATATGCCGGGAGGGGGAAGGCAGGTAACTAGGCACTGTCCCACGCAATTGGCTGTTGTATAGTTCATTGTTGTCTGATGCATGTTCTAAGATGTTCTTCCCAAAGATCAAGACTGTCATTTCATTGATGTCTCTACCAACTGCACTGGCAACTATGCTGCCCTGGCTGCTGATGCTGCCTGCCACTGCTTTTGCTGCTGCCGCTGCGCTGCTACTCCTGCCACTGCTGTATCTGCTGCTCTTTATTCTCTTGCTCCTCTTTCTGCTACTTCCGGCTAGCGGCTACCTGCCACTGCCACTGCCACTACTGCCACTACTGCCATTGCCACTGCTACTGCTACCGCTACTGCTGCTGCCGGTGCTACTACCATCGCCAGCACGACGACGACTACTGTTACCACCGCCACCGTGACAACCAGTACTAGTACTACTGGCAGTAGTAGTAACTTATTATTAGTAGTAGTAGTAGTTGTAGTAGTAGCAGAAGAAGAAGAAGTAGTAGTAGTAGTAGTAGCAGAAGTAGTGGTAGTCGTAGTGGTAGTGGTAGTGGTAGTGGTAGTGGTAGTGGTAGTGGTAGTGGTAGTGGTAGTGGTGGTGGTAGTGCTAGTATACTACTACTCGAAAATACAATTATTATTGTTACTACTATTACTGCTGCTGCTGCTGCTGCTACTACTACTACTACTACTATTACTACTACTAATACTACGACCCTTACTACTGCTGCTGCTTACCAACTACGACTACTACTACTACTACTACTACTGCTACTACAACAACAACAACAACTACTACTACTACTACTACGACGACTACTCCTTCTTCTATGACGACTACGACGACGACGACGACTACTACTACTACTGCTGCTGCTGCTGCTACTACTACTACTA